AGCGTGTGAGTATATCTGAAGTATGTTAGTGAGTATATATCTGAGGTATGTTATTGATATACTGTATACTCAATCTGAAGTGTGTTATTGAATATATATATATATATATATATATATATATATATATATATATATATATATATATATATATATATATATATATGTTATCGAGTATATATGAGGCATGTTATCGAGTATACCTGGGGTATGCTGCTGTTTGGTTATATCTATATAACTATATATATCTATATCTATCTAGGATATGTTGCTGCTTTGGTATATCTGCGTAATTTTGTTGTTTAGTTATATCTGGAGTATGTTGTTTGCGTATATGTGTTGGGTATGTCGATGTTTGGGTGTATTTAGGGTATATTACTGTATGGGTATATCTAGGGATATTACTATTTGGGTATATCTGGGGTATATTGCTGTTTATGGTTTGAGGTATAATGCTGTGCGAATGTACCCGAAGGTATACTGCTGTACATGAATATGCCAAGACGTATATTTCTCTGTGAATATACCCGGAAGTATATTGCTGTGAGACTATGCCAGGAGGTATATTGCTGTGTAAACATACCCAGAGGTATACTGCTGTGTAAACATACCCAGAGGTATACTGCTGTGTAAACATATACGCAGATACGTTACTGAGTGTATAGTGTATTAGGATGCGTTGTTTCGGCAAGTATATATGGGATTAGTAATGCCAGTGAGTATATCGTGTTAATACTACAAAGATATCTCGACGATATACTATACTGGAGGAGTATATAGAGCAGGTATATCGAATCATCTAGGCTCATGATCGGGATGGAATATCGAGTATAGATATATTAGGATTATATTTGTGATGACTATACCAGAACAAGTATACCCATGAGTATATTTGGATATTTATGATATACAAAATTAAATAAACTACGAGAATATATCGCCAACAATTGCCAGGATATATCCCTTGGTGCAGGTGGTAAGCCTCAAGGGTGAGAGGCCTCGGGTAAACGACACATTAGCAATCAAAGGAGCTCATAACTACCTCGTTAGCTTAATCGCCTCGTTCGCTTGTTCAGACATCTTCATCTTGTTAAAATGGTGGTTCGGGTATTTAGCATGTAATTGTGTAATTGGGGTCCTGGCGGTGTTATCCTGTGTGTGGGTTATCTTTTGTTGGGGGTCCTGGCGGTGTTATCCTGTGTGTAAGTTATCTTTTGTTGGGGGTCCTGGCGGTGTTATCCTGTGTGGGTGTTATGTTTTGTTGGGGGTCCTGGCGCTGTTATCCTGTGTGGGTGTTATGTTTTGTTGGGGGTCCTGGCGCTGTTATCCTGTGTGGGGGGGTTATCTTTTGTTTCTTTGTTATTATTAACACCAGAATCCACCAGGCTCGTTGTGTTGTTATTATTGTACATTCACGCTTGTTTGGTCTCGCTCTTCTCTCTCCTCCTCCTTCTTCCTGCTTCTCTTCCTCCTCCTCCTTCCCTCTCCCTCCTTATCTCACGTCCCTTGCTCCCTACCCCTTGATCCATCTCCCTCCTTCCTCTAACCACCAAAAATAACCTCCATCAACATCTACTTTAACAACATCGTTCACTAACTACTGCTGGACCGACAAGGTTAACTACCATTCATATTCGAGACGCTCGTCAGGAGGTTAGTGCGTGGCGCTAATTGCTTGTTAAGTGTTTTAGCCGCAATTGCGTATGCTCGAGGTCGTTAGTGAGGCCAATTGATTGTTACGAATGCCAATGTAGTTTGCATGTACTTAAACGGGCAGTAATTGGTTGTTAAGTATGTTGATTGCTGTAGGAATGATGGTGGTTGTGGTTGTTGGGATGGTAATGATGGGGGTTGTGGTTGTTGGGATGGTAATGATGGGGGTTGTGGTTGCTGGGATGGTAATGATGGGGATTGTGGTTGTTGGGATGGTAATGATGGGGGTTGTGGTTGCTGGGATGGTAATGATGGGGGGTTGTGATTGTTGGGATGGTAATGATGGGGGGTTGTGGTTGCTGGGATGGTAATGATGGGGGTTGTGGTTGCTGGGATGGTAATGATGGGGGTTGTGGTTGTTGGGATGGTAATGATGGGGGTTGTGGTTCTTGGGATGGTAATGATGGGGGTTGTGGTTCTTGGGATGGTATTGATGGGGGTTGTGGTTGCTGGGATGGTAATGATGGGGGGGTTGTGATTGCTGGGATGGTAATGATGGGGGGTTGTGGTTGTTGGGATGGTAATGATGGTGGTTGTGGTTGCTGGGATGGTAATGATGGGGGTTGTGATTGTTTGGATGGTAATGATGGGGGGTTGTGGTTGTTGGGATGGTAATGATGGGGGTTGTGGTTGCTGGGATGGTAATGATGGGGGTTGTGGTTGCTGGGATGGTAATGATGGGGGTTGTGGTTGCTGGGATGGTAATGGTGGGATTGTGGTTGCTGGGATGGTAATGATGGGGGTTGTGGCTGCTGGGATGGTAATGATGGGGGGTTGTGATTGCTGGGATGGTAATGATGGGGGGTTGTGGTTGTTGGGATGGTAATGATGGGGGTTGTGGTTGCTGGGATGGTAATGATGTCTGTTGGGATGTAGTGGTTGTTGGGGAGTAGTTATTGTTGCAGAGAAGGAGGTAAAATCGAAGTGGTGGTGGTTGTCGTAATGGTGGTGAGTATCGCGGTGTTGATGACGGATAGTGGTGGTAGTGATCAGATCGCCGGTAGTCGTTGCTGGGGGTGATGGTGGTCATTGTCGGGATTGTGGTGGTTTTGTTAATAGAGTTAGTTATCATTTTAGGTAAAGATGGTAGCTGTTGTGGTGTTGATTGTTGTTGTCCAGATTGTGGTTGCTGTGGAGAAAGCGACAGGTGTTGGAGAGGTTATGAATATGTTGTGGAAGTGGGAGATTGTAGTCTCGTGATGATGGTAGTTGCTGTGCGGGTGTTGTGGTTATAATGGTGGTTGTGAGGTGATAGCACTTATGTTCATGGTGATGGTGGCAGTGACATCAATTGATGGCGTTGATAGTGATTGATTTGGCAGCAGCTGCATTGATGGTGAGGAACGCGGCTTTTTTTTACAATAATTATGATTGTGGTGTTTATGGTGCACGTATAGTGATTGTGGTAGAATACAGGTGTAAATATAGTGATATTTATGGTGTAAATGTAGTACATTTACAGTAAATGTAAATGTACTACAGTAAATGTAATTATTGTGGCGGTTATGGTGGTGTAATGTTGTATCTGTGACATACATGATTGTGTAAATGCACCAATTGTGTTTATGAAATTCATGGAGGTGGTTGTTGTGGTACAGTTGTGGTAGTGATCACTTTCATGGTTGAATAGTGATAACGATTGCTGGGTAGTAAAGGTCAAATTGGCGGTGCTAAAGGCCGCCATAGTCGTGGTGTCTTGATATTGTGGTGATGGCTGTGGTAGTTAGTGATGGTATCGGTGGAGGAAATGTTGGTTTTGGTTGGGATAATGAAGGCTGTGTTGGTAGTGGCTGTGGTTGGGAATGGTGGTAGCTGTGGCGAAGATGGTGGTTAAGGTGAGAATATAACTGCATTAATCTACTCGCCAGTAACATACGAAACACACCCGGAAACTTCTAGAACCTAACATAAATCTATAATATAATACCATTGGTTCCCCCTTCTCCAACCTGATCCAAATTGTGGGTTAAACAGGTGTTTAACCCTCCGCCCCTAATGACCCCTTCCCCTTCTCTCCCCTCGCGGCTAATCTTAAGTAGATTCAATATTAGTTTTCTAGACGTAATTATAGACATGGAAATTAACTTATAAATCTCTCTCTCTCTCCCTTACTCTCTCTCTCTCTCTCTCTCTCTCTCTCTCTCTCTCTCTCTCTCTCTCTCTCTCTCTCTCTCTCTCTCTCTCTTTTGCTTCTACATATCTTCACTGTTTGGGGTATATCAGTATGATGAATAATTCACATAAAAACACTAAATATACTAATATTAAAATAATATTAATATAATTAGCTACATAACTAAAATTACATAACATTTGTTTAAATATACCAAATGACAATGATTAAATATATCAGCCGATGACTCAATTGAGCCGATTCTTAATTACCACTAAAATTACCGTTACCAATATCAATTACTATATATCCCACTACTACCATCACAATAACCACAATTACAAGCACTCCTGCACTCCTAACACTAAAGCTTCAGTCACCACCACCACCACCACTACCACGAAAACTATCTCAACCACACAAATCCTCCCAAAGATGTGTAAAGAAATAAAAGATGATTTATGTCTAACATATATATATTACAGATAGACCTATGGTAGATAGTCAAGCGCACTCTGGTGGGACGAGAGAGAGAGAGAGAGAGAGAGAGAGAGAGAGAGAGAGAGAGAGAGAGAGAGAGAGAGAGAGAGAGAGAGAGAGAGAGAGAGAGAGAGAGAGGAGGAGGTATATTGAACGGGTAATGAGAATCTATAAGACATGTCCAGACTGCGAAACAGGGACCACTGGAGAAAGTTAAATGCTTAGTATTCTTAGCGTGTGGTAGATATGGTGGTATCTGTCATGGTGGTAGTTGTGGTGATGGTACTTATAATGTTGGTGGTAGCTATGATATTGGTGGTAGCTTTGATGTTAGTGGTAGTTGCGATGGTGGTGGTAATTGTGATGGTGGTAGTTGTGATGGTGGTAGTTGTGATGGTGGTGGAAGTTGTGGTTATAGTTGAGGGGGGGGAGGTTGCATGCGGGTTGTTTTGAAGATACTTACCTAACAGCGACTTCGGGGACATGAGGTCTAGCTAGTTAAGTCCCGAGTACTTGTTGGGCTTTATTGGATATTTCCTGACCATCGTGGCCTGACCAATTAGACCACGACAATTATATTGTGGCCTGATTGTCTGGGGCGTGTGAACACCCTCCGCAAGGGTTCGAACCCTCATCACGGCTCCTACGGAATTTCTCATTGATACATAACGTTAGTGTTATGTATGACAACACTAACATGAGTAATCGTCCCTGTACTGACAACACTAACATGAGTAATCGTCCCTGTACTGACAACACTATCATGAGTAATCGTCCCTGTACTGACAACACTATCATGAGTAATCGTCCCTGTACTGACAACACTATCATGAGTAATCGTCCCTGTACTGACAACACTAACATGAGTAATTGTCCCTGTACTGACAACACTATCATGAGTAATCGTCCCTGTACTGACAACACTATCATGAGTAATCGTCCCTGTACTGACAACACTAACATGAGTAATTGTCCCTGTACTGACAACACTATCATGAGTAATCGTCCCTGTACTGACAACACTATCATGAGTAATCGTCCCTGTACTGACAACACTTTCATGAGTAATCGTCCCTGTACTGACAACACTATCATGAGTAATCGTCCCTGTACTGACAACACTATCATGAGTAATCGTCCCTGTACTGACAACACTATCATGAGTAATCGTCCTTGTACTGACAACACTAACATGAGTAATCGTCCCTGTACTGACAACACTATCATGAGTAATCGTCCCTGTACTGACAACACTGACATGAGTAATCGTCCCTGTACTGACAACACTATCATGAGTAATCGTCCCTGTACTGACAACACTATCATGAGTAATCGTCCCTGTACTGACAACACTATCATGAGTAATCGTCCCTGTACTGACAACACTATCATGAGTAATCGTCCCTGTACTGACAACACTATCATGAGTAATCGTCCCTGTACTGACAACACTATCATGAGTAATCGTCATTGTACTGACAACACTAACATGAGTAATCGTCCCTGTACTGACAACACTATCATGAGTAATCGTCCCTGTACTGACAACACTATCATGAGTAATCGTCCCTGTACTGACAACACTATCATGAGTAATCGTCCCTGTACTGACAACACTAACATGAGTAATCGTCCTTGTACTGACAACACTAACATGAGTAATCGTCCCTGTACTGACAACACTAACATGAGTAATCTTCCTTGTACTGACAACACTATCATGAGTAATCGTCCCTGTACTGACAACACTAACATGAGTAATCGTCCTTGTACTGACAACACTAACATGAGTAATCGTCCCTGTACTGACAACAGTAACCTCACGAGTAATCGTCCCTGTACTGACAACACTAAGCAACATGAGTAATCATCCTTGCAATAACACAACCTTCACCAGTAACAGCCCTTGCAACAGGTCTAACTCAAACATCTCCACTATTACCCATTGTGCCAACAGCATTAACATCGCCCATTGGTCAAACTGCTTTTGAACCAACACCACATTTTATTGTTGTATATTGTTGCATTATTTGCATTATTTTACTGTTGTATATGACAAACTTAAATATTCTTAAGCTTAGTATAGCATATATACTGTATGTACTATATTAGGCCTAAGATGGCATGTATCAACCCGTCCTCTTAAAACAACGTCGCTTTTCGCTCGTATGCGCACTATGGCCAAAAACTGAACGTAATTTGAAATGAAATCGGCTCACGAAAGAGACGTACTGTCCCGTTTTCTGTTTTGAGTCCTCCTGCTTACTTGGTTAGGTTAGAAGAGGAAACTTTCAATTAACGGTTTGTTTTCATATTAACTTTTGTTTTCATGACGTTTTGAAAGCTTAGGAGAACTTCCTGCCTTCCTAACTACCAGAGGACCTTTAACTTGCTGTTTTTGAATAAAAAAAATCCAAAATTTATTTTCAATTATTTTTCACTTTCAAATTACGTCTATTTTCGGCCATACGGGCAAACTGCCAAATTCAGACGAAATTTGTAAGAGGACAGGCTGACATGCCAAGAATTGCTAGGAGAAGTTAGGCTATGTTGTTGATAAAAAAAATAAAAATATTTCTGGTTTGCTTAAATTCAGTAATATAATAGTCAACTTTCCGGTGGTCCATCACTACATATTATTACTTTTCACCAAATAATTACTATAAATCCTTTTATTTTTGGAGGATGGGCTGCGATTTTCCTCGTACACCCCTAGATGGGATATTCGAGTGGTTGATTTGTGTGTTGTGCAGCTTTTTATATGAAGGTAGGTGTGTTTATATTAATTCCTGGTATGCTTGCACAAAATTTACATTGCTTTGAATTTAAAACAATAAAAAACATTGAAAAGAAAAATATCTTAATTAATACTTATGACTTCTTGTGATAATAAGTAAATATCATAAGTGCAATGAGTATAATATATTGTGTTTAGTTGGGGTGCTCAGCAGCGGCTCGTCATGTTTGGGGGTCTTTGATGTGACAAAGTTGGGGAACCCCAGCCTCAGTTACCTTTTAGTCTCAGTCTTTACCCTTTTCTCGCAAGCACCTTTGTCTCCTTTCTTCCCTACTTCTACCTTACTCATCTTAAACCCCTCTCCCCAACTCCTCTTAAACCTCTCTCCCAGATCCTCTTAAACCCCCTCTCCCCAACTCCTCTTAAACCCCACTCCCAACTCCTCTTAAACCTCTCTCCCCAGCTCCTCTTAAACCCCCTCTACCCTCTATAATACCTCTTGCCCTAAGCCCTCTATAATACCTCTTCCCCCACTTTCCTTCAGTCCTATCAAACACCCCTCACCCACCAGACCCTCCCACCCCCCAGACAGAATTATACGGTGCCATAGGATCACTCTAGGTGGAATAATACCCTTATACAACCATTAACTCAACCATTACTCTCGCATATCTTGCAGCTAGCCATTAGCGGGCTCGCACGGACACCCTGTGTTGTAATGATTACCTCAAGTTTCACCTTAATGGAAATTAGGGTAGAATAATGGATAATTATTGTGAGTACTTAATGGTAAACGGGCTTACATGCCGGCGCCCAGCCAGCGGCATGTGCTGGTCAATAGGTGAATAGGCAGCCTAATAAATGACTCACGAGTGAATATTAATAATAATGATGCTGATGGTAATGATGAAAATAATAAATCATCATCACTACCCTGTCTCCCACTTCCATGGAGCGGTTAGGCATCAGCCCCGAAATAGATTGGACAGCAAATCGGAAAAGAAGACTAAAGATACAACATTCTGCAGCGTCACAAAGAACCAAGACCGTCATAGTCCAGCAAAATATTGGTCGGGGGAAAGAAAAAAAATATGTATAACGAGAAAATATATAATGGTTCTGATAAATAGATTCACGTTTTAAGTAAACAGATATCACTCCTTGAAAAAATGCATACAGGCTCTAAGAAAAATAGATTACAGGTCCCGAGAGACGTTACAAGGCCTCCTCAGTAAAGAAAAGTACAGGTTCTCATTAAAAATATATAGATCCAGATAAAATAGAAATAGATCCTGAGAAAAAAGAAGTTAGTCAAATATATAAAATCTCTGCCAAGAGGGGCACCAGTACTGAGAAAGATAGATACAAGTCCTGAGAAAATTCCTCCAGGTGCTGAGGAAAACAAGAGGTCAGACGCTTAAGCATGCGGCACCAGCTCCACATATTAAGAGTACAAAACGTGATCAGAAAAGAGTAATACTAGCAGTCTGAATCGCCAAGTGGTTCACTGAATAATAATTAAATAAAATAAAATACAGTTTATAAGTAAAAACATTGTGTACAGTATTAAATACGTTCTAATTATTAGTCTTAACCATTATCATTTAAATTCTTATTATATAAATTCAGTAACGCAAATGGCAAGAGATAAAACAAAAATATATATAAATAATATAATCTGCTTTAAACCTCTCGGCGGGTTTTTGACTGTACTAATAAAGTGTAACATGTGTACTTTATTCGTACAAAAATAAATGCATATTGCATCGCCTGTCGATTAAATAAATTCAGGGCCGTGTTTGCTCAATGTAGCAAATACGTAGTTGAGAATAGAGATTCACATTTTGAAACAATAATTTAATTTTACGTTTCAGAGGAATAATAATAATAATAAAAAGTACAGTGCAGCCTCGTGTATAGCCAATTGTTGCATGACTTGTGTATCCTAGTATTCAATTTTACGATATATTGTAACTCATCGTTGACAAATTCTATAATATAATATTTATGTTATCCTCATTATTATAAACATGTATTATTTAAAGCTGGAGCTCGAGATTCAGGATCAGTGCTGCTGGAGGTTCTTAAATGACTTGCGCTTATTTTAAATGGAGAATCATAACTTAGCGTCTCTAAATATCGGATAATATAAGTTTAGCAGAATAATTGCTAAGCATCAATAAGAACTTGCAAGTTACTTAGTATACTTTAACCTCAAAATTAAGTTTTTATTATGATGCTAATAATACGGTTACTCATAGGTCTTCAGTCTTACTGCCAAAGCTCGTGTGTGTGTGTTTAGATGTTGAAGACCTCCGCAGGTCTTTACTAATTAGATTTTAAAAGTTTATTGAGAAGTTAATATTTGCAGCTGGTCGTTAGTATCTAATCACTGGGTGAGGTGGCCTGAGAGGAGTACAGAGAATAATGGGTGAGTGAGGAATTTTGAATAAGGTAAAGGAAGCACTGGGTGAATAGGGTGTTCTGGATACAGTACAGGGAGCATTGAGTAGGGTGCTCTTGGTACAATACAGGAAGCACTGGGTGAATAGGGTGTTCTGGATACAGTACAGGGAGCATTGAGTAGGGTGCTCTTGGTACAATACAGGAAGCACTGGGTGAATAGGGTGTTCTGGATACAGTACAGGGAGCACTGAGTAGGGTGCTCTTGGTACAATACAGAAAGCACTGGGTGAGATGTTTTGAGCACAGTACAGAGATTCGCCGGGTAATTGTTTAAAGCATTATACACGGATCACTGTGAAGACTGTACAATGATTACTGGGTGAGTGACGTGTTTGAGCACAATAAAGAAGTTGTTGTGTGAAATAATTGTTCAGGACAATTTTCACCCACACCCTCTGTAACCGCTTGTTAGTGAATTATTAATTTAATTCAACTTATAACCCCGAAATTCTGCTTTCTATTGCAAATAAATTTTTATTGAAGTATAAAAACGTTTCAAATGACCGAAATATAAGATTTATTTGGACAGCTTAGCCATTAAAATAATTCTTGTAAAATGATAAAATATATAATGAGTTATACAACCTGTCCTATAGTTTGAATGTGCATATATAATCTCCCATTGTAGGGGGTTGGCATCCTAATGGGTTTTTGATACTTAGATTAACTACTGACTTCTCTCACGATGCAAACCCAACCACTTGGGCTGGACGGTAGAGCGACGGTCTCGCTTCATGCAGGTCGGCGTTCAATCCCCCGACCGTCTACGTGGTTGGGCACCTTTCCTTTCCCCCCGTCCCATCCCAAATCCTTATCCTGACCTCTTTCCAGTGCTATATAGTCGTAAAGGCTTGGCACTTTCCCCTGATAACTCCCTCTCACGATGCAACCCAAAACAGTTGCCTAACTTCCCAGTACCTGTTTATTGCTAGGTGAACAGCGGCATCAACTGAAAAGAAACTTGCAAAAACCTGTACTCTTGACTGCATAGGCTTCGGTTTTGTTATTTGGTTTGCTGGGTTTTGTACAAAATGAACCTCTGTTTAGTTTTCTGATTTTCCTAGGTTGATACAAGTGTGGTTGTCCAAAAACGGTAAGCGAAAAGAGTATATCTTAAGCAATGGCTTCGAACACATTTAAGCCGAGAAAAGTACATAAACTTATTATTTCTCACCATTAGATATATATATTTTAAACTTGCACGTCAACATTTCTAAAACGAGTAAGCCTCTCCTCAGGCTAGGCTCGTCCAATCGGCGGTCGACCTCCAAAGACGCATTAGTCAATTTTAACGTAATGCGTATTCAAAATTTGAATTTTCACAAATATAAGTTATCATTCTTACTAGACTGTGTTGAATAGTTAGGCCTAACTTAAATTTGGTTAGGTGGTTAAGTTCTGTTGGCAATTATTGGTATTTGTAGTGCGTTGATGAAGATTCGTACTCTCAGAGAGTACATGCATTATCAGTTATGAGTCGTGTGTAAGGTGTTCATTCGTAAAAAGAATGTTTACCTGTTTACGTGAACAGGGTGTTACGACCTGTTTACAAGGTGTAAACAGGTCGCTGGATTAACGAGCATTCGGCGTTTGAATAGGATGCGTTGCAAAACTCATAACCGATTGTGCTCGAACTTTTCTAAAAGGAAAACACATTACATATA